AAACATTAGTATATTTTTCAGAAAATGTTTCACCCATGATCTTATCTCATTATAGTCTTGAAACCTTATGAGATAGTAGTGGCAATTGGCTCTTTAATCTATTCACTTTGAAGACATGCAAATTGACATGAAATTTCATTGTGAGAAAAGATAGCAAATAAATCATTTTACTAGCATATTTGCAGTTTGAATTCAAATTCAATCTGAACTCTTCCTGTTATACCTTATTCTGTTGCAGCAGATTTATTTTTGTTTTTTCTGTTTTGCCTTTTCTATTTCTTTTTTTATTTTCCTTGATTTAGGTGATGGCGGATGAACTATACAAACCTCTTCTCAACCGAATAGATGAAAAGCTTCAACGTTCATTTTCAATGGACTCATCTGGGATTAGTATTTTCAAAGTGCCTAATCAACTACGCCAAACAAATGAAAAGGCCTATGAACCTCACATAATCTCAATCGGTCCTTACCACCGTGGAAAGGATCACTTAAAGCCAATGGAAGAGCACAAAATTCATTATCTAAAAGTGCTTCTTCGACAAAGAAATGAGAATAGTGTGGCTAGATATGTACTGGCCTTGAAAGCAATGGAAGAAGCAGCTCGTAAATGCTATGCTGAGCATCTAGATCATGTTGATGAAGAAGCATTTGTAGAAATGATGCTCCTCGATGGCTGCTTTATCGTTGAGCTCATTCGAAGGGAAACAGGAGAGTCCAGGCAAGAAAATGAGTGTGTTTGTAGAAATTTCAATATGAATAGCTTAACACGAGATTTATTACTGCTTGAAAATCAGCTGCCTTTATTTGTACTACTGGAGTTATTTCAGATGACCCAGATGTGTGATCAAGATAGTGACTTCGTTCGTTTGGCTATTGATTTCTTCTCCGAAATGATGCCAGGCCCTGGAATTCAACATCCTTTGATATCTTCCAACAAAAATATCAAGAATCTACTAGGCCTAGTACATGATTGCTGGCTTCCTTCATCTGATGTAATAGATCGTTATGTCAATACTTCAACAGAATATGGCGAATGGAATTTCATACGCACTGCAATGGAGCTCGAAGAGGCAGGAATTGACTTCAAGAATGTGAACAAGAATATGGGGAAGAGCATGTTTGACATAAAGTTTGAAAAGGGAGTACTGTGGATTCCGACTATAAGAATGGAAGACAACACTGACTCCATTCTTCGTAATTTAATTGCTCATGAGCAGTGCCACAATGACATATATCCAAGGTATGTCACTGATTATGTAACTTTCATGGATTGCTTGATTAACTCGAAGAAGGATGTTGAATTACTCTATCGCTCTGGAGTTATTGAAAATTGGTTAGGTGATGATGTAAACAAATCTTAGTGCAACCAAAGACACACTAACCCAAGATCAGCAACCTTAGTGAAGAAAAACAAACCAAAGAACTTCAAAATTGGCTAA